GAAAGAGGGGGAGACCTTCAACGAGATGGATTGATACGGTGGCTGCAATGATGAGCTCAAGTATAGCAGGGATTGTGGGGCTGGCGCGGGATAGGGCAGTGTTTCGTTCTGCTGTGCATGGGGTCTCTATGAGTTGGAAACAACTGGATGGCACTTAACAACAACAACAACAACATGAACTAATTGCTGTCATTCTGTTGTGTTTTTTTTGTCGTGTTGTTGGAGATTTCCTTGGTCCACATACTTTTCTGTGCCGAATTCATTTTGTTATCAAGTCTTTCTTTACTTCTTTATTGTTGGTTTTGTACATACTATGTTTTACTTCTTTCTGGGTTTGCTTAGGGGATTGTTAATTTTCTCTGTGGTTACCTTGGAGTGAACTCTTTTCTCTTTAATTTTGGAACAGTCTGTTCTATAAGGTCATTGTCCTGTTTTCCTCTCCATTTGGAAGTTTTGTACTTAGAATTTTATTCCCTGTTTGCTCTGTTGCTGGTGTCATGTGCAGATTGACTACCTTGTTTCTTTGTGTACAATGTTTCATGAGCTTATTTTGAGAATCTATTTTTGATTTGGTTTTAAGTGTTGAGGCCAAGTGTCCTGATTTTAATTTGTTGTTCTCTGTTGGAAGAAATTCCTTAAGCATTTCTTGTAGGGTTGGTCTGGTTTTCACAAAATTCCTTAATTTCTGTTTGTCTGAGAATGTCTTGATTTCACCCTCATATTTGATTAATAATTTGGCTGGATATAGAATTCTTGGTTGGAAGTTCTTTGCCGTCAGTGTTTTATATATGTTGTACCATTGCCTTCTTGCCTGCTTGCTTTCTGCCAAGTAATCAGAACCGAATCTAATTGCTTGTCCATTGTAGGTAACATTTCTTTTTTCCTGGGCTGCTCACAAGATTCTTTCTTTATCTTTGGTTTTGGAGAATTTGATTATGGCATGTCTTGGTGACTTTCTCTTGGGATCTATCTTGTATGGGGTTTGTTGAGCTTCTTAGACAAGTATCTTTTCTTTCTTCATGATATGGGGAAATTTTCTGTTAACAAGTCTTCCACAATTTTCTCGGTTTTTTTTTTTTTTTCCTCTTCTTGTTCTGCTATTCCAATGATTTTGTCCTTCTACTGTGTTGTGTAAATTTGTGATTTTAATACTCATCTTTTGGATTTCTAACTGCTGTTTTTGCATGAGTTCTGATTGGGTATTAATCTTGTTATTTTGCTCTTGAGTGGTTTTTCTGAATTCTTCCAGGGTATTGTCTGTGTTCTTATTGATTCTGTTTGTGGTTTCCCTGAACTGTGTTATGGGTCTGTTCAAATAGTCTATCCTCTCTTGTAGAGTTCTATATATATTTTTTCTAAATTCCTTCTTGGAGAATTCTACTGCTTCTTCATCCATGTTAAATGAGTCTTTAGCCTGGATTTTATTTCTATTGTCTTTTTTTTGTTTGATTTGAGATTGTCTGTTGTGTCCTAGACATTTTAAAATTGTTGTCTTTAACAGTTAGTTATGTATTGATTTGTTTTGCCTTGATTTTATGTTTAGACATATTTGCAAGGGTGGAGCCGGTGCATATTAATATTTTGTTATTAATTTAGGTGTGCTGGGCTGCTCTGCAGTTTTCTTTGTGTTGATAGAATCACTGTTGGGAATGTGGATGCAGGTCTCTGTTCATCATGAAGGGGATTTGGAGATGGGATGAGCAGGTGTTGTGGTGGCTTAATGTTTTTCTTCTATTGGGTGAGGCAGGGGAGAAGGGGAAAAAAGAGGAAGAAAAGAAAGAAAAAAGGCGGCAGTAGTGAGTCCCTGCTTTCTGCATTTCTGTAATTGCTGCTGTCTCTAGGGTTTTGTTTTGAGTTTGCTTGGGACGGCTTCCAATGATGGTGTTTTGTTGTCATTCACAGACCCATGGTTCAAATTCAGCAAAGACCCTAATGGTTAGGAGGCCACTAATTTCCACTTGTAGCATAGTGGCTAAGACACTTGCCTGCTAACCAGACGGCTGGCGGTTCAAACCCACCAGCCACTCCTCGGAAGGAAGGTTGGGCAATCCTA